TATTCTACAAGTGGTATTTTGGAATTCCAAGTTCAGTAGTAAACATTTTGAGATCTTTTAACCTACATGTGTAGGCTAATAACTGGAGTGTATAAGCGTGTCTGCTTATTTGTTTTCTGTGTCTCAACAATGCATCAGAAATCTTTGACACTAAAAGTGACTTGTCCCTTTTACGTAGGTGCGTAAAAATCTCATCGACAACAAAGAGGGCGTCACAATATTGGACGACTTCGCTGTTTTTATGGATGAAGTACGATGCTTTATTCATGCTGCTTTTATAAATCATGCATTAAATTCTTGAACACGTTTAAATTGATTTAATCTACGTTTTATTCGACGCGTTTTACCTGTCAAATGGCGTCTGTGATTTGACAATAAGACTTAGGTAGAATTCTGAGATCTCATTGGAGTCGTGGCAAGTCGTACAGATGTGGAAGAATTGTTTAAACTCGGTGAGTAGAACGACTTGAAGGCCATGAACATGGTTGAGAGGTCGTAACTCCACCGTACTGATTTTACTGGTAGGCGGCGACCACTCTTTGTAGGCACTCCTTCAAACACATTTTCTACAACTTACATCGTTTGAATTCCTCGGATATACTAAGTTGCTTAGCTCAATATGCACCGTTCGAAAAAAATCTTAAGACCCATATTCTCGCAGTTTGCAAATTTCTGACATTTGCCTTTTTTTCGGTGAGAAAAATTTCCCTCCTGTATAAAATCCAAAAGTAGTTTGTGAATGTAGGTATAATCAGTTCTCTAAATTAAACACAAATAGTTGCGATTTTCAGCGAGGTCGTTTAGTTCATCTTAATTCCGAAAATTGGACTACCATCACTTTAGTTAGGCAATACTAAAATCCGGTTCATATTGTTAAAGGTGCACTTATTGTGTTCATTATTAATCTTGCGAATAAGCCCTATTTAAATGAACATTTGTAGGTTCACGCTCACCGCACCCTTCGAACGTACTCCTACACACCCATTCCAGAGACAGGATACAGGTAAATTATATGCCCTTTTTACTGCTATCGTCCATTGTCAACTGAGCGTTATTCTACTCTGGTGTAGCATATGTGTTGTGACTGCAACCGATCGCGATTTTGATGTTCAATTCCTGTCACAGAAGGAGCACTTATTTGCGGCAGCAGATACCGTTCTCGTTGACGGGGGTAAGTTCAAGGCGTATCAATTTTACGTGTGAGTTACTTCAGCCTCCAGATAAGAATTCATGCATATCAACCTCGTTATTATTTAAGGATTTTTTTTCAAATTAAAATCGGTTT